CTCATGAAAACAGATATAGACATGCAATACTGGTCAACCAAAGACTCATTGACAGTTTCTTTCAGCATAGAAATAGAAGACAGAAGAACAACCATGCTAACTAATGAAGTAACAATTCTTAATTATAAAGTCTGCAAAATTAGGAGCCAAGCCCAGGAATCACTGAAGCTACCTCTGCTGGAAGTCCAGGGCACAGTACGGCTGACTTGTGAAGAGGTCACTGACGGCTGTGATCCCCGCTGTTTACTTCATGTACTCTGTCATTTACGTTCACTTACTTTTTGCTGTCATTCCTCACAAGAGTGTATATTTGGTGTCTTTTCTGCTCATTACTGAACTCGCCGTGTGCTTAGTACAGTGAAGCATTAGTTTACAATATTTTTTCCTAAGTGTTCTATCTACCTAACACCCTACTTAGAAAACAGGGAATCAGGTAAAGGTGCGTGTGATTTTAGTTTGCCAGGTTTCCCTGCTTAGTACATCTTAAAAAAAAAAGCAATACATCACTTCTATGCTGCTCTGACCCACACTACTACGTATAGCAGCTACATACGCGTTTGAAGCTTCATACCAACATCTGCCCATGCCCCACAAATACTATGAAGAGGACCTAATTAAGCACAAACCTACTGGCAGTTGGCTAAGATTTATGGGAAAAACTATTCAGCTTGTTCTGTGGACTTCACTGATGTATAACACTTCTCCCATGTCACTGATATGCATGTTATGCATACGCAGTTACATGTGTGTTTACAAGTTCATAGTTCTCATCACACTTGGCAGACAACGAAACAACTTACTAGAGTCAGAAAGGGTCACAAGCTTTAGAGAAAGCTCAGAAGTCGTCCGGTTCCCTTAGTGGCTTTTACAGGTAAGAAAAATGAAACCTAAGAGGGCAACATCACGAAAAGCAGTGGACTACTAGCGGTCAGCCCAGATCTACTAGCGGTCAGCCCAGGGCAACGTGGAGCATACAGGGTGAGGAGGCCGAGACCTACAGATGATCTTTCTATACACACACGCGCACATGTCCTGGGTACGTACTGATCTTCCCTAACTTCTAAACACACTACGGTGATTTGGTTTCTAAGAAGACAAAAGTTAAACTAGCATGTGGCCAAGCTGTATTCCTGCTTCCACCTCTCAGACACAGAACGCAGAAAACAGCCTGATTTCTCCAATTTGCCAGTCCCGCCCTACCACGAAAGCCCCACTCAAGAACCCCCCTTTGCGCACTGGTGCGTCACAGTGTTCCTCCCATGCACACGGTGCTGAGCTTTCCCTAGCACCCTCATCAAACAGGGGCTGACGGGTATTTTTCACGGCCTCACAACAAGTGATTCTGAGCGCACATGGGAAATTAAAACGAACAGCTCCCCTCCCAGCACTGTGCACTCATAGCTGCTCTCCCTTCGGAACGGTCCGAGCTAACGTCCCAGGGACTCCGTGAACACTCTGCCGCTAGTGAGAGGAAGCAGCACCGCCTACCGTGACACCTGTGCGGCTGCCAACCGCCGAGTTCTGAAGGACAGACTCCCGGACGAGCCATCCCGAGCGCCCGACAGGTTCAGGTCCCACCGGCTAAGCGCACACAGCCAAACGCAAGCGTCACCGCTCCAGCCCACACTAAACAGCTACCAGACAGAACTTCCCTCGGCTTCCAATATAAATTAGGGATACGGCAGAACCCGAGCAGACAGAGTCCACTGCTCAAGGGTGGGTGAACGATTCCTTTGCCCGTAAAAGTCTCCCAGAAATTCTTTTTCATAGCAGTTTTACCTTTTACAAGACTTTGGGTCCAAAACCAGTCAAAGACAACTCACACTAAAGGGCACACTTCTAACATGCAGAAGTACAAATAAAGGCCAGAAAAGCAGCAGGCTGCTACTTTCACTGTAACAGAGACCACTTCCTCAAACACCAGGCCTTTAAACACACAAGTGAGCATGTGGAAATGTGCGTTTCTCTTTCTATAATAGTTATATTCATATTTAGTAAACAACATGAAGAGTGGAGGGCTAGAGGTTAGGCTGGCATGATAAGAGAAACGCCGATTCTGCAGAGCAAGGTTCAAGTTCATAGTAAGGTTGTTCACTTTCAGATTACGATTTCTGAACCTCAAATTTTTCATCCTGCACATGTAACTAAGGTCTACGTCTTAAGGTTGCTCTGCACAACAATGAGAATATGCAGGTATTATAAATTAATCTCTTAGAAAGCTGCAGTCCAGAGCTGGGTGTGGTGGTGCACGCCTGTAATCCTGGCACTCAGGGGGCTGAGGCAGGAGGATTGCTGTGAGTTCGAGTTTTGCAGCCAACCTGGGCAACAAAAGTGAGTTGAAGGCCAGCCTGAACTGCATAGAGAGACCCTGTCTCGAAGGAAAAAAAAAAAAAGCTGCAGTCCAGGTTACAAGATGAAAGAGGAAGAGAGTGAAGAATGTCCTAAGCATCACAGGCAACACGCTTTGGCTGTTTAGTGGAGATTTTCACAGGTAGAACACGGAGAAAGACTTCCTAGTGGACAGAGGCTGCGCTGTGATGAGGGAGACTGAACTCAGAACCGGCAAGCGTTTGTCCTGAGATCCAGGGGCATCGCGGGAGCAGTGTCACACAGCGAGGCGACACCCTGCAGCAGCTATCAGTCAAGCCATGCATTTCTAGCTCAACTTCACAGGACAGCGTAAGTGAACAGAAGCAAGGGAAACCTATGCAAGTTTCATTCGAACTGATCAGGACAAGCAGGAGAAAGTGACTGTTCGCATCCCATCAATGGAACGAGGGATGAGGAATCTCCACCGTGGGGTGGAGAACAGTCACTGAAGCAAACCCTAAGATGCTGCCCCTTTACCCCACCCGCGTCAATGAGTCCTGCTGCAAACGGCACGGTCAAGGGCAGACCTGAGCACCCAGGTTCCCCACAGGTACCTGCCCTTCTCAAGGCAGTCAGAGGCCACCTGGAAAGAAATTCTAATTTCTCACGGATGTAACCTCCGCGCTTCAGTCCTTTTTCCAATGGCAATCCCCTGGATTCACTGGGTTCTTCTGGCTAAAGATTGAAGCATGTAAAACACATGTGGATGGGAATTTTACCCAACATTAACCTTCGTAATGCACTTCATTCTTAAAAAAACTTAAAGTAAATAAGAGAGTCCTAAGAAAAGTATGTAAAATATTAGTACGGATCCAAAAAACAGATCAGAAGATGACAAAAGGTGAACACAGTGAAATGAGAGCCCTGCAGCAATGTCAGGAACATACGGAAAGTACTGGAGTTCTCTTTCTCCCTGGTACGTTTTCAAAGGAAAAAAGTGACTCTCACGGGACAGTAACACAGAAAGGAAAGAGGAAGACAGCTGGCGGTGCGCCATGGATCTACCATTCACCACAAAAGGAGAGTCTGTTTCTGTTTCTCAAGGGCCATTGTTTTTCTGCAAGCAGAGCCGGTCTCTACCTACAGTGTCAATTATGGTGAGAAACCTAAGACACAGGAAGGCTCCCAACGAGTCACTCAGAAGACAAAGCAGGAGCACAAAAGCCGAATTCTGCCCTAAAATACTATCACAACAAGAGCTCTGCATAACCAACTGTCTCCCACATCCCAGCAACAGCGCACTCACCGGAACAACACACAGTACTGGAATTCTAATCACGAAAATCCCTTGTCTTTGTGATACAGTGGGCGTTTAACTGGTAATTAACCCAAATTTGTTCAGATGAGGTGCACAAGGTCTCCCTTTATAAACTAAGAATCCTACAACAGTATCATCCACCTAGATCACTGGGTAGTAACACCAACCCTCTTTAATTCTTTTCATAGGAAATGTTAATGGAAAAAAAATAACATTTTTCATCTGCCTGGGGAAAATGCCTTACAAAATCAACAGTGTAATATAAGGCTTTCAGAAGGGAAAAATTCCATGTACCTTAAAATACTCATCAAATTTAGTTTTATCTAGATGGCTGTGTCTTTGTTTCAACTTCCAACCTGCCTTTTCTCAGGGTACATTCAAACTATTACTTTTGCTGCTACAACCAAGTAAAAAAAAAAGTAGGTATCAAAATAGAGTGAGTAGCCTCTGCAGACAAATCAAAGATAATTATAATCTTTTCTTATTTTAGAAAAAATTCTAATGTGCATATAAGTTTATTTTTGAGAATATGGCTGACTGTGAAATTTATTCCTGAGACATCCAAACTGTTTCATACTGCAAAACAAAACTTTTGTTCAAGCTACTGAAAATCAAAGCCACCATGAGTTCTTTGCAGAGTAAGGATATGACTGGCAGGCAAATGATTCACTTTCTTTCTTTTTTTTTTTTTTTTTTTGGTACTGGGAATCGAACTCAG